CTCTCTCTCTCTCTCTCTCTCTCTCTCTCTCTCTCTCTCTCTCTCTCTCTCTCTCTCTCTCTCTCTCTCTCTCTCTCTCTCTCTCTCTGTGTGTGTCTGCCGGTCCATCTTTTTGTTTTTTATGCGGCTGTCAGTCAATCAATTTGTCGCTGTCTATCTGCTGTCCCATCTGTCAATCTGTCCGTCTGTCTGTCTGTCTGTCTGTCTGTCTTTTATGCTATGAAGTTTGTGCTTCCATTTTTGTATCAACATGTCCTTTTAGTCTGCTCTTTGAGCATTTGGAGGTTAATCAAATGTACAGGTTGTGGATATGCAGCTGTCAGCCTGTCAGGTCAATCAACTTGTCTGTCCATCTGTCTGGCTGGTCGGTTTGCTGGCTGTCCTGCCTAACTGTCTGTCTGGCGGGCTGTGTGTGTTTGTCTTGCTATGAAGTTTGTGAGCTCATTTTTTGTAACAATATAAATTATATAATATATTATCCTTCTAGTCTTAAGTCTTTAGATCATTTGGAGTTTTATATACAAAAAACAAACAATCTAATTGAATCGATATATCTATATATCTACCCATTGATCTATGTATTTCAATTTTGATGAGTTTAAATCTCAATGAAAGGTTGGAAGTCTGGAAGGTACAGCGGCTCCACGGTTTTATGCGAGGGCCCAAAGTCTTCATTGATGTTGACAACAACAATTATGCTTTGGTATATTTGATTATACAGAGGGGGATGCTCATTTCAATTGGGGAGTGGGTAACACGTTTGTTGTTGTGTCACTTGTGTGGCAATTATATCTAGAACGGTACTGGATAAAGTAAATGTCGTACAGCCGGCGATTTGCTGGAAGAGAAGTGGATGCAAAGGTGCACAAGGTTCTCCAAATGAAAGACGAGAATGGTCCACTGTCTATGATAGGAAGAAGGGTGGATTTATTATTAAAAAAAAAAAGAAAAAAAAAAGGTGGATTTGTGCTGTTAAGAACAGATTTGGCATATGTAGAATCCTTTATATTCGGCTACCATCTTCTCACCAGACTAGAAGGCACAGGCATTATTGCTTTATCTACTACCGCCTTCACCCGGATACAGCATACTGTCGTTGTAGCTGTATTTGGGGCAACTTCGATCCTAGATACAGCAATAAATGACCGTATGTTGTATTCAGGTGAAAGACGGTATAGTGCGCAATTGGGCTAAATAGTAAATACACCTAAAATGACCGGACGTACCCCGCATGTGCGACTATTTTAGACTAGAAAGTAACATAAAATAACTTAAAAAAGAGATGGGAATATATTAAAAAAAAGAAAAAAAAAAAAGAAAAAGAGGGTGGGAATGATGTGTTGACTCTGTTGATAGTGTGGTGAGATTCAGTTGTAGATCAGATCATCGAATACAAACTGGTAACGCTCGGGTTGGGTAAATCATGTCGTGTTTATGAGCATGGGTCGGTTTTCCAGGTTGTATTGTGTTGACGAGCGTGGGTCGGTTTTCCAGTTTGTGTCTGATGATCTGATCCCGGTATTTAAATTGCGGCCATGAGATTAAGACGCCCTAGGCTGGGATTGAGGAAAAAAAAAGAAAAAAAAGAAGGGAAAAGCGATTGAGGCCATTATTTCCTGCGGGTAATGGACTGCATGTGATCATTGGATTGTTGCGCTTGAAAGTTGGTCAGGTGCAACTAGGCCTGTTCAATTGATGGGACCCCTGACCTACCTGATGAGTTGGTGAAACTCCGACAAAACAGTGTGTTTGACGATATGTTGTCCTGTTCTCCCTCTCTGCCTACGGTTTATCGGGCAGCTCTGTTTGACTATATATATACTAGGGTGTTTGACTATATGCATACTAGGGGGCTGAAGCACTTGGCTTGCAGACGGCTCTGCACCCCCGGCAAGTCAGCCGGGAATCGCTTGCACTGGGCACCCCGTGCAGGTAAAAATCAGCCCTTTTTTGGGGGGGGGTGGGGGTTTTCTGCGCATGCCCCAAGGAGCTCAAGTCCAGGCTCCTTTTTTCGAGGGTTGGCTGTCAAGGGGACAGGGAGTGGAGGGGGGGGAGGGGTGTATAAATTGGGTTTTAAATTTTAAATGGGGTAAAGGGGTTTAAACTTTAAAGGCCTTAGTCTGATTCTGTTGTTTTTCTCCTTTCCGTGAGGAATTCTTACGTGGCCCACTGTCCGAAGTCGTTTGCATTGCAATTCTACACAACCTTTTTTCTTCCCTTGAATTTTTTGATTTTTTTATTTTTTATTGTTAGCGCTGGCGCTGCCGGGGAGCCCGCGTCTGGGGTTCATGGGCAGCCGGGCTCCCGGGCGTGTATACGGGCACAAGTTGCATGCCCGGAGGCCCATAGAAATATAGACGACGTTATCAAAGTTACCTGAGATGGGCTTAAAAGAATGGGAAATTTGTTGAAAATTGAAATACCCCTGGAAGTTGGGCTATTTCGTTAGATACCCCTAAAACATGGGTGTGGCGAAATGCCCCAAGCTTTTGCGTCCACCCCTGTCACAGCATCACCGACTTAGCCATATGGCCCTGGCTCTGGACTGCAGGGCGCGGCACATTTCTTCTGCCAACAGCCAGAAATACCGGGGCATATGGACAAGTCGCCCAGGGCCCCGTAGGGGTACATGCAAAAGATTAGGTGGGGAGTGGGGTAGTCTGCAAAGCTTCCCACCTGTCATAGGGGCATTTTGCCATACCCATATGCCTTTCAGGGGATGTCTAACTGCACTTTCAGGGGCATTTCAACAATTTGCCCTAAAACAATCTGCCTAACAAAAAAAAAACAAAAAAAAAACAGTTGAGGAATGATTATTGTTTGGAAGACCGTCACTTCAGTAATGAACGACTTTGTGGAAATTTTTCAGGGCTAAGATAATGTTGGTTTACCTCGCGGTTGTGCTCTTGATTTGACAATGTTACGATCATACGATCATAGGGACATGTTGAAAATTTTGTCCACCTCCCTGATGAAAGGGCATTTGCATCGTCTTTTTCTTGTGAACAAGCCGGGTCCCGCCGCGGATGCGGCGGAGGCCATAACCCACCCCCCACCCGAATAATCAACATTGCTAACACCAGGTAAAGGTTAGCCCTTGCCATGGCCAGGTGGGACCATGCAGGGTCGTGTTTTGATCTTTTGTGAAATTTGTGCCGTTTGTTGACATGAGACGCGGCTTGCACGGCTTGATTGCAATTTGGTGTGCAGCATGTAATCATAATTATTATCATATTATGTATGCATGATTATGATTGTCCAAATATGACGTAATTCATGTTGTTTCAAGAACTCTGCCAGCAGAGCCTCTTTCTTGAGCATCAAGCTAGTTGGGCAGTGGGGTGGATCATGTCAGTGACTATGGTTGCTCAACGCCTACAGCGACGTGTTCGAAGGCCCGCACGGAGTAGTACCGGATTGACCCATCCGCGACGAGATCATCCTCGAGGACGGGGCCGTACCTCCGCGCGGTTGCATCTACCGAATGAGCGAGGAAGAGTTAAGTGTGCTTCGGGCACAACTCGACGACCTTCWAGAGAAAGGCTGGATTCGGCCTAGCTCATCGCCATACGGTGCTCCTGTTCTCTTCGTCCGGAAGAAGAACAAGGACCTGCGGTTGTGCATCGATTATCGCAAGCTCAACGAGCAGACGATCAGGAACGCCGGCCCTCTCTCACGCATCGACGACCTTCTCGAGCGATTGGGCGGCGCCCAGTTCTTCTCTAAATTGTATCTCAAGTCAGGGTACCACCAATTCGAGATTCGCAAGGAGAGTCGCTACAAGACCGCGTTCAAGACACGGTATGGGCATTTCGAATGGCTGGTCATGCCATTTGGCCTTACGAATGCCCCAGCCACTTTCCAAGCGGCTATGACGACGGAGTTCCGACACATGCTGGATCGTTTCGTACTTATCTACCTCGACGACATTCTGGTTTACAGCCGGAGTCTGGACGAGCATGTGGAACACCTGCGCACCGTTTTGGAGCGGCTACGACAGGCCAAGTACAAAGCAAACCGCGACAAGTGCGAGTTCGCACAGCAGGAGCTGGAGTACTTGGGACACTATGTGAGGCCGCAAGGCAACCGTTCGCTTGCGAACAAGATCGAGGCCCTACGAGTATGGCCCGAGCCCACCAACACCACGGACGTTCGTTCATTCATGGGATTGGCGGGCTACTATCAGCGATTCATCACATGATACTCCAGGATTGGTGCACCTATGACGAGGTTACAGTCGCCAAAGGTGCCATTCGTATTCGATGATAACGCACGCCGGTCATTCCAAGCACTTAAGACGGCTATGCTCATGGCACCCGTCCTTAGCATCTATGACCCCACCCTGCCGACGCGAGTGACTACGGACGCTTCCGGCTATGGCATTGGGGCAGTCTTGGAACAACACGACGGCGACGACTGGCACCCTGTGGAGTATTTCAGCCACAAAGTGCCTCCCATCAACTCGCTTGATGATGCAAGGAAGAAGGAGCTGCTCGCATTCGTGATGGCTCTCAAGCGTTGGCGGCACTTCCTCCTTGGGCGTTGTAGGTTCACATGGGTCACAGACAACAATCCATTGACCTACTACAAGACGCAGGACACGGTGAGCAGCACGATCGAACGATGGATGTACTTCATCGATCAATTTGACTTCACACCGAAACATGTCCCCGGCCTCTCCAATCGCGCAGCAGATGCACGCTCGCGAAGACCTGATCTTTGCGCTATGTCACATCATGCCTTCGCATTCGACGAGGAGCTTCAGCGACACTTCATCCGGGCATATCAGTCTGGTCCGGACTTCGGCACGCTCTATGCACAGCTATCTTCGGATCACCCGTCGGCCAGCCATTACCGCATTGCCGACGGGTACTTGCTCCTCCACTCGAGAGGCAAGGACTTACTATGTGTCCCACGCGACCGTCGTCTTCGGACTCGCCTCCTCGGCGAGTACCATGATTCACGACTCGCCGGCCATTTTGGAGTCAACCGCACTATTGCACGGCTTCGACAGCGATTCCGATGGCCCGACCTCATTACCGATGTCACTCGGTATTGCGGCTCTTGCGAAGTTTGTCGACGCAGCAAGCCCCGCAACCGATGTCACCCGATGCCTATCCCACGGGAACCCGGTCTCTCCATTGCCATGGACGTCACCGGTCCGTTCCCTCGCGACCGGCTCGGGCACGACGGCATCCTCACGGTGGTGGACCGATTGAGTAAGTACGCGCGTTTTCTCCCTTGCAAGTACTACTCCACGGTTCCCGAGCTGGCACGCCTCCTGCACACTGGTTGGATTTGTGGCCACGGTGTACCAGAAGACATTGTTAGCGACCGCGACACTCGTTTCATGTCGGCTTTTTGGACTGCTCTCATGCAGGAGTCCGGCACAACAATGAAACCAAGTTCGGCTCGACATCCTCAGACAGACGGGCAGACGGAGCGGGCACATCAAACCGCTCAAATGATGCTTCGTACGCTCATCCGTCCGGACCAGAAAGATTGGGTTGACCG